GGTGATTTATAGTTCTCTTGAAAAAAACTTTTTGATTTAAGAACCTATTTTACTACTCTCAATAATCTTAAATTGCCAGAAGATAATTTTCTCTTTTTTTCTTGGTGCTTTAAAGGCTTAGAAACAGGCAGGATTAAACATACCACATACAACTAAGTATAGTCAGTCCCCATGTGACAGACGACCCAACTTACAGCGTTCTGTACTTACAAATGGGTTCCCAAGGCTCCCCGTAAGGATAATTTATAATTCAATGATTACATTAATAATTCAGGAACTAGTTTCTTCCACGCAGGTGCACAGACTTGCACAGGGCATAAGCAGTTTTTTGGCCAGCATCTGTACGCCAGCAGCTGGTCTCATCGTTTATATTGTCACTTATGCACAGTATCACTTTTGTCTCAGCTTTTTTATCTGATTTTGTGAGTCTGTGCTTCCCTCATGACCATCCTTCCAAAGTGAAAGTCAGAACATCTTTAGGTCAGATTTGTATGTAGTCGGATCCCTGATGAACAGTCCATATACAGTGCTACTACCACTAATAATAACAATACTCCAATGGTGTGTATGTGGTAATAACATAATACTGTAATAATAGCAATACCCCTGTATTGTAATAGTAAGTTACAAAAACTATTGTGCTTTCTTTTAATTTAAACAAACACTGCAAGTCCAGGTGAGCCTGCAGCAAAATGAAGAGATGATTACAATGGAAACAAAAGTAGGAACGATAAAGCGTTCGGGGAAAGGCCAGACGCCTTCATTCACTGGGAAAGCATTAGGCTGCAGTCACTGAACTGCTGGGACAATTGTAAAGGATAAAGTGAGAATAATGGAACATGTGAAAGGCAGTGTTCCAAGGAAAGCATCAATTATTACTAAGCAGCATCGTAGATGAATTATTGAAATGGGAAGAGTTATCATTGATTTGGTTAGAAGATTAAAATAAGCGAAACATTCCTGTTAGCGTGTTGTTGATGCAACATTAGGTGAATGTTAAGCTTTAATATTCTTTTTTGAAATTTCTCCTATCTGAACTTTTTGTATGAGTTTGTTTTCATGTTCTGTTTGTTTAAATTAAAAGAAAGCACAATAGTTTTTGTAACTTACTATTACAATACAGGGATATTGCTATTATTACAGTATTACACTATGTTATTACTGCATACGTGCCATTGGAGTATTGTTATTATTAGTGGTAGTAGCACCATACGTATATGGACTGTTCATGAGGGATCCGACTTACATACAAATCTGACCTAAAAATGTTCTTAGAATGTATCTCGTTTGTAATCCCAGGACTGCCTGTATATAAGTAGCATTTTTTAAAAGTTAGTACAAGATTCCACAGTTCTATATGTTTGCCTTTTAGCTCCCATAGTCTACAACAGCTGTCCTTAGACCTTCTTTTCTGCGGCACACTGACCCACTGCTGCCTTCCGGTGCTTGTGAATATAGCGCGGTCGCACACGCACACACCTTGTCGTGAGTCTGCAGTTCACGTGGAATCTAACCCGTCCTCTAGTTTGTACACAGGAAGGAAGTCTCGTCCTCTCCCCATCCCACACCACCCTTAATAGGTTACTGGCCTCTGTTCTAATAATCTGTTCAAGTTTCTTAGTCATAGTTACCTTCATTTCTTTATAAAATGAAGCTGTCTAACATCTTGAGTGTAATGTTTTATATAATGAGATAGAGCAAGTTCTTTGGATAAAAGTTAACGTTCAGATATAACATTTGTTTTTCCTCCTGCAGCAAACCAAGAGGAAGCTAGATGATGCCAGCAAACGTTTGGAGTTTCTATATGATAAACTTAGGGAACAGACAGTAAGTTTGGGGGAAAACAGAGGATTTATGATAATCATTTATTCTTAGTTGCTAGTAAAATAAATGTCTCATCAACACTCTCGTTTAGTATGGTTGGGGGCAAAATTGTTGTGACAGTTACTGAATGGGCTTTGCTCTAACTGTCCACATCATAAATCTCATTCATCGGGATGAGGGAATAAGGCAAAGTATGTGTACATGTGTGTCTGTCTGAGAGGGAGAGAGAGAGAAGGAGGGCGGGAGGAAGGGAGAGAGAGGCCAGGTACACTGGCTCCCGCCTATAGTCCCGGCCCTTGGGAAGGTCAAGGTGAGAGGATTGCTTGAGGCCAGGAGTTTGAGACCAGCCTGGGAATACCTTGTCTCTACAAAAAATTTTTTAAAAAATTAGCCAGGTGTGGTGGCGCATGCCTGTAGTCCCAGCTACTCGGGAGGCTGAGGCAGGAGTACTGCTTGAACCTAGGAGTTCAAGATTACAGTAAGCAATGATCACACTCCACTGCACTCCAGCCTGGGCAATAGAGGAAGACCCTGTTTATAAAAAAGAGAGAGAGAGAGAGAAAGAGAGAAAAGAAATTTTATTGCTTCTCATAACAAAGAGTAGAAGCACAAGCTTGCCTGTACTGGCCCCGAGGTAACTGACCTTCTGCTGTTCATTTTGTATGGCCCATGTATCAGGAAATCAGAGAGTAGGCAGATTCTCTTTTCCAGAGATGAAATCTGTAATCTTTCCCATGGTCTAAGAATCCTGATCGTTCTATTCTGGAACACCTGTTACACAAAAGCAAAGCCAAATGTTGCCACAAGACGAGCAGGTTGAAGTGCCGTGACTGTGAAGATAGCTAGCAGCAAGGAGTCGGCCACTGTGTCTGTTCTCCCGCCCCACCTCTCCATTCCTTTCAAAATTGTCTTGTTTGATTAATGAAAGCACTAGGATAGGTGAGGAGAAAAAGAACTGGGAGTTTCTTCTTATATTGTTGCATTTCAGTGTTCCTCTACCCCATTCCCCACACCCAGTTTCTTCAGATAAAAATGATCATTTCTCTCATGAGAACCAAACTAAAGAAAGTCGGTATAACCGTGCAAGCAGTGTGGTCCATGGATGGATCTAAAATAAAGTCTTCTCTCTTAAGCATGGGACACATATGGCAGATAATCACATGGGAAAAACTACAGGTTTTGTGATTTTAAGAGATGGTACAAGGCAGTTAACAATTGCTAAGTGGAGAACTTGGTCATGCCTGTTGCCCTACTAACAGCAGTGGAGCAAAAGATCAGGGTCTCTGTGGTAGATGAGGTTTAAAGTAAACAGGGTCCTCACTTTGAGATATGATTAAGAAACTTTAATCTCCTTCATGTGCATAGGAAAAATTTTGAAAGATATGAGGCTCCATCTAAAATAATTGAAGAATTAAAGTTCTTAAATGGAGAGAGACGTTAGCGTTTCAGTTTGGGGAAGGAAATCTGGCTGCTTTTCTATAAGAAAATACCTAGTCTGTTATACGTGTATAATTCACAAATAACTTCTTTTACGTAAATCATTTTTTCATGGTTCTGCTTGATAACTGTTGCTCAATCCAAGAAACTATTTCTAGAAATGCTAAATGGCTTATATATTTTTATATATTTTTTTCAAGTTCCATTTAAATATCTGTATTTATAGAGGGTCTCACGGGAAATCCTCCCTTAATTTAATTCTCTCTCTTGGTTCTACCTTTATTTCAGCTTTCACCAACAATCACCAGTGGCTTACACAGCATTGCCAGGAGCATTGAAACACGGAACTACTCGGAAGGATTGACCATCCACACCCACATAGTGAGCACCAGCAACTTCAGTGAGACCTCTGCTTTCATGCCTGTTCTCAAAGTTGTTCTCACCCAGGCCAATAAGCTCGGTGTCTAAAAGCACAGCTTCACTCCCATTCAATATTGCCATCTTTCCAAAGAAACATCTTTAAAAAAAAAAATGATAAAACATGGACCAATCCTCATTAGCATGTTTCCGTAGCAGCCAGTCAAGAGCATTTACACTATTTCTGCAGATATACTCACCTTAGAACTGCTCAAAACCCTGGTGCTTTCTTTTTGTTTTAGTCTTGGTTGCCCATGATGATTTTCCTACTCTGCAAGTAGTGTATTTCCTGGATTACACATGGTATGGTTTCCTGAAGCATTCTGATAAGATACGGTTTTTAAAACCTCAGTATACTTTTTAGAAAGGGAGCATCTGGTTGTGCATAAGGCAGAGCTAAAACTAAATTTCTTTCACGTCTTCCCTGCTTCCTCCACGTCAATCAGATTAAAGTGTGTAATCCTATTTTATGTGTTTGCGGTCTTTTTTTAAACAGCGGTTCGCAATTTAGTTTAATCCCTATTTTTTATGTCTTTGGCTTCGCCCTGGTCTTGAACAAATAGCTACATCTACAAGCTGCTACATGGGTTTTAGCAAATATTAATGAAAAATAGGATTACTTGCTTTAAATGTATATAGGGAAAAACTGGGCATTTTCATTGGGTAGAAGGCATTGAGCTTTTTTCTATTAACAAACGTTTTCAGTATTCTATTTTGAGTTTTAAGATTGAATTGTCTACATTTTACAGTGAGAAATTTGTTCACCCATTTAAAAAAAAAAATTGCCTGCAACTTTGAGGTTTAAAGTTCAGAAAGAAAACTTTAATTTCAGTCAGCCTTCTGAATCAAAGCCAGACATTTTTCAGCCAGTTTTTCTGTCAAGTAATTTTATTATATAATTTTATTATATAATTTTATTATAATCTTTTACCCACAAACTCTTCCAGCTCCCCAGCTCCCCTCCCCCCAGGAACGCCCACCCCGTTTTCTTTCAGGATCCTTATTTTGGTTCCCCGGGGCAGACAACTGGAGAGAAGTTCTTATTTATTTCTCCGCATTAGCCGCTGCTGTTGTCTCTGTTCCAATGACCTCTTTCTCTTCCCGCTGGGTCAGTGGCCACAGGCTGCTCTTAAAAGGCAAAAGCCCCTGCTGTTCTCCGGCAGGGAAGGGGAGTGTGTAAATAGAGCTCAGGAATGTCGGAAAGGATGACCCAGATTTGCAGCACTGGAAGAAAGACTAGTTCGTGGTGTGTCCTGTGCAATCCCTGCAAGGCAGCCTATTCTCCATGTGGGGAACGGCTGTGCAGAAAGGTTGATTTCAGGGATCTAGAGATTATCAATGCGGAAGACTCACTCCTTAAGGAACTCAGGGCCAAGCAAATACATTTATGCCAAGTCCTCACGTCACAGTCTCTCTGAAATGCCTGCTCGTTCGTTTCCAGCCGAGGAGAGTGCTGCGTTGATTTTTCTCCAGATTGACAAACTAGCTCCACAAGAGGAAGAAAGTTATCCAAATAGAAACAGGCCTGAGTTGTTTGTCCTCTTTCTTCAAAGATGTGGTGCTCACCAAAATTTATTTTTGATTCCTTCTGAAGACTTAAAGGTAATACACAAAGACACGGTGGAAAGCGCCTTTCAGAGCTGAAGCGAAGTGAGAGATCTAGTCCTACCCCTCATTTTACAGAGGGGGAAAGAAGGGAGAAGGAGGTGACATGACTTGACCAACGGTGGGTGGCGGAGAAGACACTGGAACCCAGTTCCTCGACTCCCAGACGAGTGCTTTTCCATACTGTCCCTCCTGAGGACACGATTTACAGCAGTTGGGATAAAATAAGCTCCCGGTAGCTTTTCACTGTTACCACCAAGGTTCCCTCCAGTCTGGAGCCCTGGTTCTGTAACTCTTCCCTGCTGTGATCTGTAGGAGGTATTTGGTTGTTTCGGGCTATTTTCTCCCCTTTTTCCCTAAACTACACCCTCTTTACTGCTGAGCTTCTAGAAAGATCAGTTCACATGTGTGTTCTCTGCTTGTCTCCTCCTCCTCGTCCTTACACTCTCCCGTGTGAGGTCTGTTCCCATCTCTTACTGGAAGGGCCCCAGCAGACGTCAGCGACAACCTCTCCGCACAGTGGGCTCCTCGTTCCCTCTCTTTCCCGACCTTTCCGTGATATTCCACGTCGTGAACGCTGCTCCCCACGCTCTGCTCGTTCTCCCGTCTCTCTCATTGTCCCTCTCCGTCCACAACACTGGCCAGACTCACAAACGCTGGTTCACCAGGACTCCATCCTCAGCCCTCCTCCTTCTTCCCTTCGCTGGCCGACTGCTGCCGTGGGTTTACCGTATTGAACCGCGACTGAACAGTCACCCCCGGCCTGGACGTTCTGCCGAGCCCCGGGCCTGCGTGTTCAGAAGCCTACCCAGCAGTCGCACTTGGGTGTCTAACACAGGACTTGCTTTTCTGCTTTAACTTGCGCCCATTCCTTCAGTCCCTATCTCAAAAATGACGATTGTGATGATCTACGGTGATAATGATAATTAATACTTGGGAATTCCTGACTCCATGCCAGGCGCTGTTCTAATTACTGTATGGATGTTAACTGTAGTCGCCACAGGAATACTGTAAGGTAGGTGGTATGATCCCCACTTTACAAAAGAGGAAATAAACACAGATTTAATACTTCGATGAGTGACATTATCTTTCACGTGAATACCCACACCAGAAACCCAGAAGGAATCTGGGTTTTTCTACCTGCTCTTTTATGTTTAATCCAGCATCAAATCCTGTTGATTCTTCCCTTTAAGCCTCTCTGGCTTATGCCCTCCCCCCACTTACTGTTCTCCAGCAACTGCACCTTTGCCCTCACCATTGCTCAACACACCCTCAAAATCGTGTCCTAAACAATCTTCATGCCTGTCCCTGCCCCAATCCACCCTTCCCCACACCTCTTCTAGAGCGGTCCTCCTGCAGCGCAAACCTGATCACGTCATCACGCTGCACAGAGCCTTGCGTGCCTCCCCCCACACAGCTCTATGGACGTGGCGCTCGGGACACCCTCCTGCCTGACAGGCTGCCCACGGCGTGGCATTTCAGCTTCCCCCCCACGTCTCCCCACTTTCACTTCAGACATTCCACACACGCCCCTGAATGCCGATTGCAGAAACTTGGCTCACACTGTTTTCTCTGCCTGGAATTCCCTCTGCCATTTCTTTGTCTGGTAACTACTCTTCCCTCAAAACCGTACTGTCCAAAATGGTAACCATCAGCCAGGTGTGGCTGCTGAGAATGTGTGGTTAATCTGAATTAAGGTGGGCTGTGTTGTAAGTAGAAACATTGAATTGTGAAGACATAATATGAAAAAAGTGTAAAATATCTCAATAATTTTATATTGATAAAATAATATTTTGGATATATTGAGTTATATAAAATATATTTTTAAAGTTTATTCTGTTTCTACTTTTTTAATGTAGCTACTAGAAAGTTCTAAATTACACGTGTGTTCGAATTTGTGGCCCCTCATTATATTTTTATTAGAAAACAATCCTTCAATATTCTTACCCAGTAAACTTAACCAATGAGGCAAAAGACTCGTATACCGAAAGCTACAAAGTGTTGCTAAAAGAAATTGAAGGAGACACAAATAAATGGAAGACATCCCATGTTCACAGATTAGAAGACTTAACATCATTAAGATGGAAATAAACTACTTGAATGATTTACAGATTTACTGCAATCCCTATCAAAATTCCAACAGCATTTTTGGCAGAACTAGAAAAATCCATCCTAAAATTCACATGAAATCTCAATGGACCCTGAGTAGACGAAACAATCTTGACAAAGAAAAACAAAGCTGGAGCTCTCAAACCTCTTGATTTCAAAACTTACTACGAAGCTACAGTAATCAAAACAGTGTGGTACTGGCATAAAGACAAACATATAGACCAATGGAATAAAATAGAGAGTCCAGGAAAAAAACCCTCCTATATCTGGTCAACTGATCTTCAACAGGAGTGCCAAACCCATTCAGTGGGGAAAGGATAATCTCTTCGAGAAATAGTGCTAGGAAAACTGGATATGCATATGCTAAAGATTGGAGTTGGGTGTTTACCTTAAACAATATACAAAACTTAACTCAAAATGTATCAAAGACCTACATGTAAGAGTAGAAACTGTAAAACTCTTAAAAGAAAACAGAGGAAAAGCTTCATGACATTGGATTTGGCAATGATTTCATGGATATGACACCAAAAGTATAGACAACAAAAGTAAAAATAGGTAAACTGGACTACATCAAAATTTGAAACTTGTGTGCATCAAAGGACACAACAGAGTGAAAAGGCAACCTACAAAATGGAAGAAAATATTTGCAAATCATGTATCTGATAAGAGGTTAATATCCAGAATGTATGAAGAACTCCTACAACTCAATAACAACAACAAAAACTTGATTTAAATATAGGCAAAGGACTTGAACAGACATTTCTCCAAAGAGCGTATACACGTGACCAAAACGCATGCGAAAAGATGCTCTATACCTGCAGTCTCCAACCCCACGGGCAGCAGACTGGTATGGGTCTGCCGCCTGTTAGCGGCTGGGCGGCAGAGCTCAGCCACCCACCCCTCCACTCCATGGTCAATGGAAAAATTGTCTTCCATGAAAGGAAGGGGGTGGGGGCACACAGCAGGAGGTGAGCGGAGGCAAGCAAGTGAGCCACCATCTGTCACCTGCATTTACAGCGCTCCTATTACTGGTATCACTGCCTGAGCTCCGCCTTTCCCCCACCCCCATGGAAAAATTGTCTTCCACGAAACTGGTTCCTGGTGCCAAAAAGGTTGGGGACTGCTGCTCTATACCACTAATTATTAAGGAAGTGCAATCAAAACTACAATGAGATATCACTCCATACTCATCAGGATAGCTGGTATCTAAAAAACAGAAAATAAGCATTGGTGAGGATGTGGAGAAATTGGAACCCTTCCACACTATTACTGGAAGTGTAAAATGGTGCAGCCACTATAGAAAACAGTATGGTAGTTCCTCAAACAATTAAACACAGAATTGCCATAAGATCCAGCAATACCACTTCTGGGTATGTATGTCCAGAATAATGGAAAGAGGCTCTGAAAGAGATATTTGTACACCCATGTTCATAGCAGCATTATTCACAGTGGCCAAAAGGTGGAAGCAACCGACGTGTCCATCAGTAGATTAATAGACAAATAAAATCCATACACATACAAGGGAGTATTATTTGGCTTTTAAAAGGAAGCAAATTCTAACACAGGCTATAACCTGGATGAGCCTTGAAAACATGATGCTAAGTGAAATAAACCAGTCACAAAAGACAAATCCTGTGTGATTTCACTTAAATGAGGTATCTAGAGTAGTCAAACTCATTGAAACAAAGTAGCAGGGTGACTGCCCAGGCTAGAGGGAGGTTGAAATGGAGCGTTTAATGGGTATAAAGTTTCAGTTTCGCAAGATGACAAAGTTCTGGAGATTGGTTGCACAATAATGTGAATACGCTTAACACTCCTGGACTGTACACTTAAAACTTGTTAAGATGATAAATTTTAGGTAACATGTATTTTACCACGATTACGTATTTTTGAAACAATTCTCACCCAGATACCGCTCTCCCTCCTCCCTGCCTCTAGTGTGAACTAACAATTCCCTTCTTTGTGCTTCCACGTTATCTCGCCTATACCACTGTCACGGCTCTTATCACATCGTGGGTAATTATTTGTTTGACCGGATAAGGGTTACCGTCCCGTTTTCCTCCACCCTGGAATGAGCTGAGTACTCATCCGCAGCTGAGGTTCACAAGCCACAGAAACATCCCAGGGTCTTTAACACGATAGAGAACAGAGACATTGGTCCTGATGGCAAAACTCACTAAATAGGGAACGGTCATGATTAGCAAGAGTGTATCTTGTAGAGGTTTCCCTCTGAGGCTGGACCTGGAACGAGCTGCTTTGTTCAGCCGTCCTTTTACAGGCAGGATCTGAAAAGCCGAAAGAGCACGTCTCTCCTCCCTCAACACGCAAAAGCATCCTCTTCACCTTGAGGACAGCCAGCTGAGATGACTGGCCCAACCCAGTCTGACCCCCCGGAGGGAAGAGAGGAAGATGTTCGCTCAAGATAGAGCAGCTTATCTGACAGATAAGGTACCGGGTGCTGGGGGGGGGCAAGTAAAGAACTATTTCGCTGCTTCCCCTGGACTCCTTGTATGTATGTTTGATGCCTAATAAAAAGAATATTTTTTTCTGATAATGGACTGAACCTTCCTGCCCTTCCAAGGTCCTAGCCCAGGGGTTATACTTGCTTGATCAATCTTTGCTCCTATCCAGAAGCTGCTTTAGGGCAGGGGCCATACCTTATTTAGCCTTGTAGCCCCCATGCACGCTAGTCCTGGGACACAGCAGGTGTCCAATAAATGCCAAACAAATGACTGGACGGTTAGAATGAGGGTGGAGCGAGTCCTTACAATTACCCAGAGAGAAAGGACAGTCTGAACCGAAGGGCCACAGGGAGCATGCGGGTCTGGTGGGCGTGGGGATCACAGGGAGCGTGAGAAGAAAAAGTGGTTCATTATAAATCACAGGCTGAGCAGGCTGACGGAATTCACACCCTCCGGTTTCGCACTCTGTTGTCTCACTGGTCATTATGCAGCCCCGACATTTATCTGGATCCTTGGCAAATTTCCTTTCCTTCTATCATTTCAACTCTGCCTGAAGCAAAACCACGACACCGGCTCAGTGGCCCTGGCTCCACATACTTCGCTTCAGTTCTAAATTCGACGTGTTTTATGGGCCGATTGGACTGGCTCAGGTCTGCTAACAGTAAGACGCTCATGTATGGCCCTTTCCTGCAGTCCATTCTTCGTGATTTTTTTTCCCTCTCCTGGAATTCCGGAAAGGATTCCTAACAATGGTTAATCCCAAAATTAGCTTTTTTGGTCAACGTAATAGCATCCCTTCAAACTCCCATTCATACAATTTGCAAGCTGGGAGGAAGAGTGGAGACTAGCTCTGCTTCTCAGGTAAGGAAATTTGTGCCTAGAAAGCTGAGTTGGGTCACAGGAAGCTAAAACTAGAACTCAGAGCCCCTGGCTTCCCGTCCTGGGCCCTTTTCCTTCTGCTGCCTACCTGCAGGGGGTGCAGCCACACCTGCCTGAGCTCAGCCTCTTTACATTTTCTGTGCAACTAGGGCCCTCTCTGGAGAGCTCTTAAAATCATCTGCTTTAGGAAGGGAGCAATGGGCAGACACACATTTTTCACAAGTTAATTTTCCTTGGAACGTTCTGGATGATTTTTTCTGAAGCCCAGTTCTCAGTGGCACTGACTTTAAGGTACTGCTCCATCTCCGAGGGCTGAGGAGGACACGGTGCACTTTGCAAAGTGCGCCAGTTAGCAAGAATCTACCATAAACAGAGCTGCGGCGGGCAGGGCACCGTTGGCCACAAACCATGTGTGCATCACCTAACAAGCACTGATTGAGCGCCTACTGTGTGCCTGGGTCATGCACAGCGGCCTAATTAAGAGTTGAGCGGCTGCGCTCCATCCCGCCACTGGCCCAAGGAGTCACTCCCTGCAGACACGGGGACTTTCATCCTCGAACTGGCCTTCACTTGCGTTGCGACTCCAGGCGAGCATTAAAAATTCTCCAACCCAGGTGGCCTGTGGCTTGAGAAGATCAAAAAAAGACAAAAAGCGTCTCGGAAGGGATGGTCTGAGAAAGGTATTTCTGGAGACCAGCAGAAGCGCTGCGAGCCGCTCTGCAGGCTGCGGGTCCCCGGAGCCACCTCCTGCTCGCCCGCAGCCTCCAGCCCGGCGCCGCTGCCACCTCCTGCCCCGCGGGCTGCGGGTCGCGCCGGGCACGCCGAGGGGGCCGAGGCCGAGGGGCGCCTTTCTCTTTAAGAGCCCCACGGGCGGCGCTGATTGGCTGTCGCTAGGCAGGGCTCTCCTCCCGCCCCCCACGCCCGCCGGCCGCGCGCGCTCGCCTCCTCCTCCTCCTCCTCCTCCTCCTCCTCGCCGCGGAGTCGGCCGGGCAGCGGCGCGGGCGGCACCTCAGCGACAGACGCCGGCCGCCGGGCAGGAGAGGAGGAGCCGGGCAGGGGGCCGCGAGGAGGGCTCGGGGTGCGAGAAGCCCCCAAAGGCAGAGGCCGCCGCCCCCGCCCGGAGCTCCCGCGCCGCGGCCCCGCTCCAGCCATGCCGGGCCCCGCGGAGGAGGCGCGCGCCGGGCTCGCGGGCTCGCAGGGGCAGCGCATCGTCTGGAGGAACGTGGTGCTGATGAGCCTGCTGCACCTGGGCGCCGTGTACTCGCTGGCGCTCATCCCCGACGCCCAGCCGCTCACGCTGCTCTGGGGTGAGTCCGCGCCCCGGCCCCGCGCCGTCCAGCCCGCGCCGTCCAGCCCCCGCCCCGCGCGCCCCCGCCCCGCGCCGTCCAGCCCCGCGCCGTCCAGCCCCGCGCCGTCCAGCCCCCGCCCCGCGCGGCGGGCAGGTGTTTCCGTCGGGCATTTGCAAGTGCGGCTCCCCCTGCGGCCGGCCCGAGGAAGCGCATCTGCCGGATCGCGCTGGAGAGCGGGGCGCGGAGTCCTGCGGCGCCACCGCGGTGCGCAGAGGCGCGCGAGGGGAGAGGCCCGGGCTGGGCACCGGCGAAATCGGGCTCCGGGGAGGGGCACAGGCCGGAGGGTGGTGTCGCCCGTGCATGTCCCGGGGGCTCTCCCTCCCCCTCCCCGTCTCCTCCGCGAGCCGCACACCCGGGGGCCCAGGTGAGGGCGAGAAAGGGAGGGAGGAGAGACGCGGCACAGGACTGAGGCGCGGTCTTTGCGCACCGGGTGGAAGAACCGGGTCCCTGCCTGCCTCTCCGAGGCCCCGGGCCCTGTTTGCTCCGAGATCGTCGATGCCCGCTTGCAGCTCTCCGGCCGCAGAAGGTTCCCCCCGAGCAAACCGAGCCCGGCGCCAGAGCGCTCTGCCCCAGCGCGGACCTGCGACGGTGGCCGCGCGCCGCCCCCAGCCCTGCCCCCACCGGGCCGGCGGGGCCTGTCCCGCGCCTGCGGCCGACCCGCCCTCCTCCCTGCTTGCAGCCCACCCTTGCCGGCCGGCAGGGAGCGCGAGAGCGCCGGGGGCTGCTCTCTGAACCGCCTCGCGGGCTGCCCCGGCCCCGTAACTGGTTTGGGCTCCGTCTTTGGCGGCAGCAGCCGGGACAAAAGCCACAGGTGCGGATGCGCCGGGCTGGGAATCCCGCCAGGTAGTCCAGGGGCCTTGCAGCTCTTGTTTCCCACATCTGCCAGGAAGGGAGATGGGGCGGGAGAAACACAGCCTACTTTTATTTGCAGAGGGGAAGGGGAAAGAAAAAACGGTCGTGATAAAGACCTCTGCACACAAAGCTGCTTCTTTGAAGGCCTGGCGAGATGACAGGGTCCAAGCCTTGCTTTGAGCCTGCAGCCCCTGCCGCTGAGGCGAACTGGTCCAGAACGGGGGGACCTCTGCGGGTGCGGCTCAGGATGGGCACAGCGGGCGTGAGGGATGGCGAGAGGGCAGGTGTCTGCCAATCCCTCAAGCCTTTGAAGCCCCCCAGAGCTCTGGGTATTCTCCTGCCTCACCCCCCCAATGCACGTCCTCCACTGCCTTTTTGTGTTGGTTTAATTTCCCATCCGTCGTCCTCCTTCCCTCATCTCCACATGATGAGATTGCGGGAGGTTCAGCCACTGCTGGATGGACGGGCTCCCGCGCCTGCCTGCAGCTCCTCTCCCGCGGCTCCCAGAGCCCAGCCATGCCCTGGACTTCAGAGCTCGCTGGCTTCTAGGGGGCTGGGGTTTATCTTTTTTTTTGAGACAGAGTCTCACTGTGTTGCCCGGGCTAGAGTGCCGTGGCGTCAGCCTAGCTCACAGCAGCCTCAGACTCCTGGGCTCAAGCGATCCTCCTGCCTCAGCCTCCCGAGTAGCTGGGACTACAGGCCCGGCTAATTTTTTCTATGTATATATTTTTAGTTGTCCAATTAATTTCTTTCTAATTTTAGTAGAGACGGGGTCTCGGTCTTGCTCAGGCTGGTTTCGAACTCCTGAGCTCAAACAATCCGCCCGCCTCGGCCTCCCAGAATGCTAGGATGACAGGCGTGAGCCACCGCGCCTGGCCGTGGGGTTTATCTTTAATAGCTGCGGTGTTCAGAGAGCATTCAGGGAAAAGTGAGCACTGAAAATATTGTCTTACATGCCTGGAGCTCCGCAGGCTCCACTCCCGGCAGACCCCGAGCGCCGAGACTCTGGCACTGGACCGGGAGCCGCGGGACAAGGCCCTGCCGCTCGGCTTTGCCAGTCGCCTCTGCCCTGTCCAGAGTGCTCTCTGTGGCGAAGATGGAATCTTTGTTCTGAAAGACCTCGGCCCGAGGACACCTGCTGAGGCCCCAAACCCCTCCTGTAGCTTCCAGGGAGACATCAAGGCACTCCGAGAGTCTGGTTTCCCCTTTGGGGGTGACGATGCCAACCCCCGTCCTTGCACCTCCCACCCAAACCCCTGCCTTTGCTGCTCTTCATCTGCCTTCATTGCCTCCCTTAAAAGAAAGAAAAAGAGCAGACGTTGTAGTTTTAAGTTCCAGAATTGTGACTTAGAAACATTCCCGACAACGGATGCTATCTGATAGGTGGCTTTCAAGGGAAGAAATGAGGGACAGGGAGGGACCAGCTAAGTGGCACTGCTGGCTGGGCCCCATGGAACCCCTGGAGGGACCAGGGGACCCAGAACCGAGGGTGATTCTCAGTTAAAGCCCTGGAGCCTCGACCCACAGGCCTCCCCTCACTGGGGCCCTTTCGCACCCCGCCCCGCTGGTTCCGTCTAGCACGAGAGCCAAGTTCGTCCCCCATGGGTGCTCGTCCGCTGTAGACACCTGAGCTGTCAAGGAGATGGGCTTAGCCCACCCACCGCCCGCCGGTCTCCGCCCCAGGTGAGGCTGCCCTGGAACCGAGAGGCATCCACGCAGCAACGTGTTAGGTGCGCAGCCTGCAGAGTAATTTGCGTGGGGTGAAATGTCACCCAGGAAAGATCCACCGAGTTTAGTCCGCTGCCTCCCCCTCCCACCAGCGACTCTCCCTGGGGCGGAGCAAGTGCTTCCCTTCCTGGCCTCCCGGCTTTCCAGTGGGCGGGCTGGCAGCGCAGAATGCTCCAGGGGTCCCGGCTCCTCGGGGATGGCTTTACGAGTTTCAAGAACAGAAAGCAAACTCCAGCTAGAGGGAACATCTTCGCCTGAAGGCTTAAGCTCACAGAAGTGTCTGCTTTGAGGGTTTCTGGCCAAGGGGACAGTTAGCCAATGCCCCGAGAGGCACAGAGCAGGCAGTGGCACCAGCAGTCATGGCACTGAGGTGACAGTCCTGGGGCTGCTTCCCGTGGAGCTTTCCCCTGACTGTCTCCAGGCGTCTGGCTGTGGACTCCCAGAAACATCACCGCCTTTTCTAGTTTCTCCCTAAATGTCATCCGAGTCCCCTAAATGTGCCCCATGGAGATGTCATGGTTTTTTCCCTTACGAGGCAACTTCGGTGACAGTGCCAGGCATGAAAAGCGGTAACTTGCCCTGCTTTCTCCGATGGGTCAACCGTCCTTCTAGCTGGCCCCAGGGCACATGTGGCCATTGTCCAGGCAGACACAGCTTCCCTGGTGCCCTTCTGGTTGCCGGGGCACCTGGACACCCTGAGTGGGATTCCGCCTGTGACAAGGACCTGAGAAGTGGCAGAGATTCTGTGGGGGGTGGGGAGGTCAGGAGAAGCTGGGTTTGGGAGGCACTGATCCGCCGGGCAAGTCTGAGATCTGCTCAGAGGTGAGCCTCTGTCATGCGTCGGCAGCCTGCGTTCATAACCTGGGCTGGTCACGATGTCTTTGTAGGGTCGCGCTTCTTTTCCATCAAGGTCCTCCCGTTGCTGAAGAGTCCCGAGAATGCTTGGCCATGGACTTCTGTCCTGCCTCCAGGTTTCTAGAGTGAGCAAGGCTCGGTGGAGAGGCAGATCTGAATGTGAATCCTCGCTCTTCTAGTGGCCTTGGACAAATGAACGTCTCTGAGCCTCAGTTTTCTCACCTTTAAAATGGATGTATTACTGTTACTTGTTCATCAAGTTGTGAGAATTAAATTAGATAATATATGTAAAATCAGTTAGCACAGTGCCTGACCTTTGGTTGATGTTAAGTAATTATTAGCTGCTGTTATTATTATTGGTCCTAATACTGGGTCTTTATAATAGCAGAGGGGGAAAAAAAAGCCCTTCTTACGGCACAATAAATTCCACAAAGCTGGCACAGAACTTGGCTTCATTGCCTCTCTTGCATGAAAATATTAGCTTTGGCGTTGGAAATAAGAGCTCTTTCTCCAAGTTCCCAAAGATTTGAAAACAAATCCCTTTTGTACCTCCTCCCTTTCTCATCCCCTTCTCTTTCATTCCATCTTCCTTCTATTTCCTTCCAAAAGATGACTGTTTTGTAGCTAAGAATCTTTTT